CCCCCCTCCCCCTCCCGACCGCCAGGCTCCCGACGATGCGGTTGGACTTCACGTCGACGCTGGCGGACACGTTGGTGGTCTGGGAAAGAGCGCAGAGCTGCAGCAGTGCCTGGGCTCTGCCCAGCCCCGCAGGAGCCCAGGGCTGGCCTGGGCCATGGAAACACAGCAAGGTCCCTGCCCATCCATGGACACGTTCACAGCCAACATCAAAACCCAGGATGCCCATAGCTCCAGTGTCCCCCATGGGACACGGCAGGGCGCTCACAAGTACCCAGGACACCAGCAGGCAGCACAACAAGCCGTGCCCTGCTCACCAGGTTGAGCAGGAAGAGAGGAGCCAGGCTGGAGCTGGGAAGGATGGCGTATGCCTGGATATCCACAACAGGCTGCAGCGAGAGGCCCTCGGGGCCGATGCTCAGGAAGGGGGCGGCCGGGGTGGAGAGCCGCAGCTTCATCAGCATGTCGGGGTACATCTTCTCCAGCTGCAGAGGAGCAGAGAGCGGCACGTTCTTGGGAGCAAAGGCCCACGCAGGCTGTGCTTCCCGTGCCCGCAGCCTAGCACGCGGCGTGCAGTGCTCCCAGATAAACCATCCCGCCGCGCCGCTCACCTGGGGGACGAAGGCTGAGAAGGTGGAGGTGTTCAGGTGGAATTCAAGGCCCTTGGGGATCTGTGGGGCGAGAAAGTCACTGCTTGGGGGCAGCTCGGTGAGGCCACGCGCACGAACCCATCGGGGAGCCGGGCAGGATCAGCCCTTCAGCCCCGCAGCCGCCCCTCACCATGGAGTCAGTGAGCTCGAAGACCAGGGCGCCCGCGGTGTGGTAGACCAGGCCGGCCGTGTTGAAGAAGTAGCTGGAGGCCCCGAAGTAAACCATGCGGGCACGGTCGGGCGGGAGGGCGAGCGGCGGCGGGGAGAAGGGCACGGCGGAGTGCCGCGCCAGCGAGAAGAACTCGCCCTGCAGCGTGGGGACGGCGGCGCTGGGACCAGGCAGCCCCCGGGCCCCGCCGCGCGCCAGAGCCGTGAGCGCGGCCGGGCACACGGGCTTCCCCACGGCACCCGTCACACGCGCTTGCCCTCTGAGCCTCTTTGCAAGCAAAACAATAAAAATGATGGCGTTTCCCTCCTCACTCTGCTTCTCAGCACTGTGAGGACTCCCAAGCAGCTGCTCAGGGACAGCCAGGTGACAAAGCGCTGCTGATGCAGTGCTCAACGCTTTCAACACGGGTGGGGAAATAAAGGGAGAAGGGGCAGAGGATCGAGCACTGTCTGCGAGGCCAGGGCAGCGCGAGGCAGGAGCGGCCGCGGCGCCGCGCGTACCTGGCAGCGTGCGCAGGTAGGACTGCAGCTCGTCGCGCACCGAGCTCACCACGCGCTCGCACACCTGGGGGAAACACAGCAAAGGGCAGCGGCTGCAGCGCTCGCGGCACCGCGCCGCAGCCCGGGAGCAGGCGCCCCGGACACGCGCCCCGCGCTGCTGCCTGCTGCTGTCCCCGGTCTTTGCAAAAGGCTGCTTAGAGGAGCACGCAGTGACATTCGTGTCTGCACATCAGACAGCAAATTAATTAAGTCCAGAACACACACAGGGTTTACACTTGCAAACACCGGCTGATGACAAGCTCCCTATGCACCGTTCAGCTGCACCACCGCCCTTCGAAGGGATCCCACTCAGGCCTCAGGATTTTCCCTATGGTCATTGCTAGCGTGAACTGTACTGAACAGCCAAGAGCTTAGCTTAAGCAGAGCAGTGGGAAGAGTTAGTCCATCCCTGCAGGGCAGGAGCCAGCTCGGTGCTGCTGGGACAGAAGAGCCTCCATCACTCCATCCTGCCGCCACTGCCCGGCCCCATACAGGCAAATCCTCGGCATTGCCGGGAGATTCAAGCGCTGGCCCAGGAAACCTGGTGCAGGCAACGTCCTGGGGCCACTGAAGCTGCCAGAGGCCCCTTCCAATGCTGCTCCCATGTGGATGCGGGAACAGCCGTGCTGGATGAGCTCCTCGCCTGCCTGACCAGCAGCGAGAAGCAAAGGGCTGACGGTGCGGGAGCGGCGGCGATGCAGAAGAGCAGAGCTTTGGGCACGTCCCCACGGCCCGCAGGGCGCTGCTGCTCTCTGCCCCCCAGCCCACGCTCATCCATCGCTTCCTGGGAGGGACAGGCTGCCTCTCTCTCCCCGCACATGGCCCCTTCCCCTTGGAAAAGCGCTGGAGATCCCTGTGTTTGGCAAGGTGGGCAGCGAGCCAGCGCCGCGCCCCATCCCTGCAGCTTGGCCCCCGCTCCAGTCCTGCTGCCAGCCCATCTGCTGCCACCACTCCCCGGTGGCCCATAAAAAGCCACTAGATGGCATCCGGAGTAGCCAAACACGCCTGGATGGGGCCTCGGGTCTGCTGCAGAAGGAGGATTTGCCTCTTCTCCAACTGCCTCCTTCCTGAGCAAGGTTCACATCCAGCGAGGCTGCAGCTCCTGCCAGTTAGCCTTGTTGTGATTACTGCTAACAGCTTGTTTGCATGTCCTGCTGCAGCCTCCCTGCGCGCAGGTCTGCGCGGGGCTGCGGGCACCGGCTATCCCGACGTCCCCTTTGGAACGGGGGAGCAGCGTCCGCAGCGCCGAGGCCGGGGCCTCCCCCCGCGGCTCCCTGCGCACGAGCGCTCCCGGCTCCGAGCGGGCAACGCACCCGCCGGAGGGGAGAGCTCCGATTAACTGACCACATGGAAAGCAAAGTCTTTGTTAATTAGGAACCAATTACACCAGGCATTGGCAAGTGTTGCAGGCTGCGCTCGCCAACGCTCGTGATTTTACCCAAAGCAGCATCATTTTCACATGCTCCAGCTCCAGCAGAACCACTCGTGCAGCAGGAACTCGGAGCAAGGGAGCAGCAGGAAACCTGGAGGCCTCCCGCCTCCCCTACCTGTCTCTCCAAGGTCCTCCTGAACACGGAGTCTATAGCGCTGTGGAAGAGGTTGTAGAGCCAGCTGTGGAGAAGAGCACCAAGACACAGTCACTCCCTGCCACACGGGGAATGCTGCGGAAGCGCCGGCCAGGGAAGGAGTGACACCAGCGATGCGAGAGAGTGGAGAATGTCCTTCCCGTGCCAATTTGGAGGCCAGCTTTGCTGTTGTGCTTACATTTGCAAACAGACCCGCTCACAAACAACACGCATACAAATGTGCAGCCCTATGCAAAACCTCTCCCTGGGCCGGATTTAAGTTCCTTCAGTTGTATCTCCGGATGGGAATTGCATTACAAGAGTCCAGAGGCAGCTGGGGAGTGGGGCACAGGGGCAAGTAGGTCTGGGGGGCTCCAGGGGCAGCCTGCAAGGGGTGGCAGGTGCCAATATCCTACTCCTTGTGCCAGGGCCTGAAAGCCGCGCCACGCCGCCAACCACGTGCCCATAGTGGGTGCAGTAACACATGGAATTTCTAGGCTCTAGCAGTGAAGTCACGCACCTAAACCTGCCGGAAAAGTGCACCCGGACGCTGGAGATGTGGGTGCTGCAGCTGGAGACATCCGCAGTGGGCTTCCCGGAGCTGTCATTGCCCAGCTTCAGGCCGATGCTGATGGAGAGATCCTCAACCTTCAGGTCAAACGTACCGTGGTCCCTACTGTAAGGAGGGCGAGAAAAGGGCATTTTTCACCAGCAATTCCTGATGGTCAGACCCCAAACCAGCTGGATCTTTGAAACCCATCTGGCTCAGGCTTCTCCTTGTAGAGAACACCCAGAGAAGATGAGAAGACTTCTAAACTCAGACAGACCAGAAAGAAAACAGTGCAGAGCCACCGTGTGCCTGCGGAATGCAGCACCTAAACGGCTGGGAGATGCTCTTGGTGAGAGCCACAAGGCACCTACATGAAATGCAGTTTGACTCTCCAGTTCCCCTCCACCACAGCAGAGGCATCGGAGATGGAGACTTGCAGGCCCACATTGGGGATCGGGGAAATCTGCGAGCTCGGCAGGTGGAAACTGCGAAGGCTTAAGCTAGAAATAAAAAAAAAATAAGAAAAGCACTTGCAAGGTGGCACCTCGAGGCATTTGCATCACATCACTTTGCATTTCTGTGCTGCATCACCGTGCCGAACTTGCTGTTTTGAGCTCAGTTGCGCAAAAAGCCCTTGCTCCCCATGCAGTAACTCCAGTTCCCCTTTGCCCTGCACCGGGCAGGGTGGAGCGTCCCAGCCCTCCGAGGACACGGATACGCCCCGGGGCGCCGCGGGAGGGGACGGCGCTGGCTGCTCCAGAGGCACCAGGGCCCTTCCTGAGCCTTTGCGGTTGGAAGAGGAGGGGAGACGGGAACCACGGGCCCACCTGGAGAGCTCGTAATGCACCTTCCCCACTCGCCGCACTCGGAAGTCTCCTGAGATGTCCGGCAGGCGCAGCTGGTGGAGCTCCTGCTCCAGGATGGCCACCCCGTACTGACGGGCTGCAGGGGACATGGAAACGCTCGTGGCCACGCTCGCCCGGAGGCAACGTGTGTCCTCCAGGTCCACAGGAGAGCATTAAAGCAGCCCTGCCAAGGGCCCGGCTCCCACCGTGTGGAGCGGAGACCCCGGCGGGCCCAGGGCTACCCTGGGGCAGAACCCCTGGGGGCTGCGGGACTGTGTCCCAGGGCTGCCATAAGCCCCAGGGCAGCGCGGGGTCCCCAAGGACAGCACTCTTCCCAGTGTCACGGGAAAGCCGGGAGGTGCTGGAGCTGCCACATCTCTGCTCCAAGGAGGAAGGGAGGCCACGTCCTGCTCCCAGCGCGCTCCTTTCCTCAGCCGAAGCCCCGTGGGGCCCGTTCACCCCGCGCCAGGCACAGGCAGCTCCTCGCCGGGCTCGCCGCGAC